GAAGACGAGCTCTCACAACTTGATATGGGTACGTTGCTGCTACAGCAAATATTTTGGATAGTGCTGCAACAGATATATATTCTACTGTGCTCTAAAATGACAATGCAAAACATTTGTTTCTTTAGACAGGATTCCTTTAAAAATATTAAAGTAAAAATTATACAGGAAAACAAACATTTTAGTGGATTTGTAAGTGAAAAATATTGTATCCTTCCTTAACACAAGCTCTGTGCAAATAAGGGGTTCCATTTTTTAACATGTGTGTCATTAGCCTACAAAATATTTAAGTATATATTTAAAAAGTGGCAGACACAGTAATCATCATGATAGAACTACCCACCAAAGTAAATGTGACATAACTTCTATTAACTTCCCGTAAAAGTAAATGATATCATTAAAAAAAAAAAATCTCCTTACCAACTGGGCTTCTGGTAATCTATTGGTATGCTGGTTGTATTTCAACTTCAACAATTCATATGCCATAAACTGAAGGGCACCATGTGATGTTCCAAGCAGCCCAGGAATGAATCCCTGAAAGGGAGCAATGTAAAAAAAGAAAGAGCTAAACTAAGTAAGTACCCAAGAGAGCACATCTTCCAGGGAGGGGAGTAAGGACTGGGTGACCTCAACGTAAGACTTAATGAAACGGTTACTCAACCAAGTTTTAGACAGTCCTCACACACACCAGTGTCATGATGATACATCTTATGGGAATGAAGATAATCAGCTTAAAGTACAATTTCAATATTGTAAACTAGATTTCAATTTTCATCAAACTATTTTGTGCCTTCATTTGGCTTATTTTTATGACTGATGACAGGTCATTCAGACAGTAGAGCCAAGGGAAATTACAATGGTCAGTAATTCAAAATACACTGATAATAATTCATTACCTTATATAATCCACGTACACCTTCATACTTATATATTTTCACAAGTGTATCAAACATTCCTTTATATTGTCGCTGTGGGGGGTTAACAACACCATCATACTGTAACATAAGGCGAGTTTTTGTTACCCATAATGGATTTGTAATGCAGAGGGTCATGGCTCCTAAAATCAGATTTAAATAAGATTACTCAGTGTACAGGTACTTTCTCACTTATGACAATCCAAATTAAGAACAGTCCATTTATAAAAAGAATGGGGTTTCCCACGGCCTATCCCTCCAACAGTGAGATGTGATCTTAGGTTAAAGGGCAGACATAGTTTGATGTCCTAAAAAGATCTTCAGGGTGATTAGTGAGAGGTAAATTAAATGGGTGATGGAAGTGTGAAACACTTGACCTTTTGGATGGGAAGATAGCAAATATCTGCTGGCCCATAAACTATGGGGATCAGTGTAGAGACCAGAGAGAAATCCTGGGAGGCCACCTCCTGTAAGGAGCTAGAGATGTTGAGGTGTAGGGCAAAGCCTAACCCAGAGGGGCTGAAGATGAGGGGGAAAGGACCAGGAATCCAACATCTTGATCATCAATGCACAGGCATACATATCTCCATCCCAACTTGGCCGTAATCTTCCTCAAATCCATTCAAACTAGCTACTACACTTCAAAAATTAAAGAACTAAGCAATATAACATTATATTCATTATAGAAGGTAATAACTTTGTAAAAAAAAGTTCATCTAGTTAAGTTTCTCACTTGCTGAGTTTCCTAACAATCTTTTATTCAACAATACTCAGTCCTATTCTGATTCAGGTCTCTGCTTAGTGGCTAGGGATTCAAAAATGAGTAAGATTGTTTTTTTAAGGCAAGAACTATCAGTAAACAAGGTATCAAAGGATGAGTTATAAAGACTTATGGGTTCTACTTTGTTTTTCCCTTCTGAATATTATACATACATGAGAAAATTAAGAATACTAAATTGTCTAACTTGAAAACTGAAATTTACTTTAATTGAATAAACACTATACCAAATTATCTTCAACTTAGGGATTCATAACTTTTCCAAATTTTACTTCTCCTTCTGATAAATAAAATTATTGAAATCTATCCAGAGTAATTAATTGGAGTATCTGCTTTCTAAGAAATTTCATGGGATAACTGATTAGTATAGTTAGATGAGCATATTTAAACTCTGGTGTTCAAAGGCAAAAAGACAAAATAAAAAAGTGAAAATCAGATTGGAAGTTGACATGTTACATTTCATACACTGCCTTACCAGCTTCAGCAGCTGAAACAAGGTATTCCATTGCCTCTAAACGTTCAGCTCTTCCTTCTGTCTTATATGATTTGATGCCATTATAACTAAAAGAATTAAACATGAATAATTTAATAAATATTTGAATAGGTGTCATAAAGCAGTAAAGTCTGTTTTAAAATGTGTAACTTAATATAACAGTACCCAAAAGTAAAAGTCAGTGCATAATGTAACTACAAAATTAGAGCTTTTTCAAGAATGGATTTGCTGGAAATGGTTTATTGTAAGATTATGCTGCTCTCCCCACCTAGTGCTAGCAATTACATATGTAAAATATTGTAATCACACACTAGTCAATTATTAAAAACAAGAGACAGGAAAACTGGGAGAGGGAGGTTGTAATGGTGGTATGACTGGGCAGACGAGGCAAAAGAAACAAAAAAAGACACCTAACTAATATGTGCTGAACACCTATGTTCAGGTTCTATGGTTGGCAACTCTGATAGATAAAACACTCAAAGGCTCCTTCCTAACAGACTAACAAGGACCGTAAGCAGCACATAATCATAATAAACACAGGACAGTATTGTAAGAGACTGAGACACTATCACAGAAATCACAGAAGGCTTTGTGTAGGAGGGGACATTGAGCTGGGTATGGAGAGACAGGTACACCTTCAATAAGGAAACATGAGCGTGAGCAAAAGTTAAAATAGCAAGGGTGGATGAGAAGACAAGGAAAACCAAGCCACATTTGAGTGGTAGTCTGATATTTGGGCTTTATCTGGCAGAAAGTAGTGGGCCAGTAAATGTTCCTCAGCAGGGTAGTCATACCAGCTTCTTTCTTCTAACTGCAATTTTTACTTTTCTCTTAGAAGACTTCAACTAAAGAAATCCTTCCAAACTTTATTAATGCCACTGAAACATGAAACAAGTACACTGTTTTATTGTAAGAGTCTCATCACATGGAACTTATATTCTGATGTGTTGTCTTACAGACTCTTCCTTGGAGAACCTACACAACTCTGAAATTCATAATGGGATGGATTTTATGCATACAGTTTCACCCATCTAAGTATATTTTAGAACTGAAAATAAGAAAACATATATCTGAACAATACTAAGGCTGAATTTTATTTTACTTCCACTTAAAAAACACTTTAAGACTGGTTTGGATGCTGCCATAAAACTGTGAGAAACAAAGTAAAATATAGGACACAAAAGAGAAAAAAGCTAATATATCAGGTATTGATGTTTTCCTTAAGGTGCCATCTATCAAAACAAAGAAAGCTCTCTCCACTCATGGATTCAGTTTAAAACATTAGAGGCATGCTCAGGGCAGTACATGTTCCTCCACTGCAGTACAAGGATCTTTGTTCCCAAGCTCTTTTAATAGTCAGCTGAATGTGCCTGCCACTGGCTCTTCCTGGCTTCTTCAGCAAGCACGCAAAAACATCCAATGACACTGGATAGGTGACAAGAGAAGGAAATGAATGAGCTCGGAAGGTGATGGAGCAGGTCAAATAAGAGGTAAGAAGGAATGTGCCTCAAACTCTTTCAGCCATGCAATGGCTTTTACTTTACTTTCTGTGCTCAAGAGGGATCTCCTGTGGGATATGTGCTTATGAAGGCCCCAAGATCTGTCCTTTTCTGCTTTTCCAACTTTATTATGTATCAATTATATTTTGGTAAGGCATCTTCCTGAATTCATCTCACAGAAATGGCTTCTGTAAGAGTGTTTTTCCATCTCATCCTTTCACTTTCTTCCTATTAAGAAGTTTCTTAAAGACTACTTGCCTTTAATAGCTGACAGAATGGAACAAATAAGCTATTTTGCTCTTTCTGACCCTTCCAATTCAGAGAAACTGATTAAATTACTCATCCTGCCTCATCAACTGATATGTAAAGATCACTAAAAACAAAAATTCCTTTTATTTAATATCATCAACTCTCTTAGATCTACTCACAAGAAAAAGTAGAGTCCCCAGGATAAACCTGCACCCCACACATTTGGGGTTACTCCTTGGTAAAGTCCCCGTAGTCCATCAAGTTTCCAAATGGTAGTCAGGCAATGCAAAATTCCTTTATATTTTGGTCTCAGCTCCAATCCATCATTCACTACAGTAAAGGATACACAAAGTTAGGTGAGAACAAAGTTCTAGCTTTGAGTCAAAATATAAACAGAGATGTCACACACAGTCATATTAAAGAGATATGTAGGCTTTCAACATATATTTGTTCAATTACTGTATCCTGAATATCTTGTTGCCTTTGCAGATACACTGTGCATGTATACATCTCTACCATGTTCTGTCCCAGAAGCCTGACCTTGCCATCTAGCCTCCAGTTTACAGGGGCTGGTGGGAGCCCCTGGCAGGAGATCAGAGGGATGGAAGAACTCATTCAGCTCCCTCCCTACGGGGTTGCTTTGGGTTGATTGCTTTGGGCAAGCTGTGTTCCTGGACTGAAGGTCACAGATCCACTCAAGGTGGCCCTCTCTTAATGACTCTCTCCCCTTATCCTCTGGCCCTTCAGGTGGCAACAGTTCAGACTATTTCTAGACTCAGAATACAACAGTATTCCTTGTGGTTTTCCTCTAAACTATTCCTATCTTTGTAAACAGTCCTTTTAAGCACCCCTCACCCTCCAGAATAATCCTATTTTGAATGTGCCTTCTGTTTCCTACAGGGAAATGGAATGAAAGAGAATGCCAGGTTATAATCTAGATTACATTTTTATGAAATTGGTATTTTACTATATATAGTTTTGTATACTGCTTTTTCCCTCACTCAAGACTATACTGTGAGCATTTCTCCTTGTTAAAAAAAGATTTTGAAAAATGACATGATATTCCATCACCTACAATCATTTCCCTAGTTGACATGTGAATTGTTTCTCTTTTTTTTTTGGCTAATATTAAAAGGTCTCTGGAGAATATTCTGTACAATTTGTACACATTCTTATGTCCTTAAAATTAGTTATTAGAAGGGAAACTAATATGGGTCAAAGGGTATAAATTTAAGGTTACAAATACATACTGAAAATGCCCCCTCAAGAAAGTTTATACAAATGACAGCCCACTAGCCATATACCAGCCTGTCCAGTTCACTATTCCCTTGTCCACTGTACATAATGGAGCCTGGCAAAGAAGAATCACTGTTCACCATTGCCAAGCAAAGGGGGAAAAGTCAATGTGTTTCATCACTAACTAACTTGACAATGTTACACCATGAAATGAGATTAAAGTACACTAGGCTTTGACAGAAGTTCTGTGTATGTTATCTAACTTCCCTAACCAGCTATAGGATCTTATTCTTCCTGAGCTTCAGCACCTTCATTTATAAAATGGGATATGTATCACCTACCTTACATATTGTTAAGAAGTTTATATAAGTTTAAAAGCAAGGAACAGAGTGACTGGCTTTCAAGAGATGCTTTGCTGTGTACTTCATAATCTTGCTGATACTACTTCCCTTGGATTTTATGTCTCTTAAATTTCTTCAAAGAAACTTTTCATTTTCCTTTCAATAATCAGCTCACAATACAATCTCTCTTTTGAGGCAAAAAACAAAGCAAACCACAAAATACCATCCTTGCTTTTCATAGGCATGACCCAATGATTTTATTGTTTTAAGAAGTTACTTAATCATTGGAATATTAAGGATCTCAGTGATAGGCGCCAATAACCTCTACTCTATACTTCCTTAATACTATCATCTTACCTACCTTATCATCTAGTTAGAGTCAAATCTTTAATTTTGAAAGATAGTCATTTATACACAGATATTATTTAAAAAAAGAAAAAACACAAGAAAGCTATTTACTGACTCCTTAAAATTGCCAGGCAAAGGGGGAGTATAAACCTAAGTAGGACACAAGACCTGACCCTGATCTTGAGGAAGACATAATCTCAAGGCAAAACAGACCAGCAATCACATTACAAAGCTGTGAGAACTGTGGGAAATGAAGTGCTACTGGAATCTGGAGGCAGTATGAGAAATGCCCTGTGTAGAAGGAACTGGGGAGATACAGTAGGGCGACAGGGAAAGTGAGAGTGAAGACTGATCAGAAATTTGTCTTTGGGAAAAAAGAAGGGTTTATCTCTAGACAAGTGGGACAGCTGTTGTGCATACATGGGAGCACCATAGTGCCTGGCACTGTTTGGGAGAACTTGGAGGATTTGATACAGCTGAAGTGTGTAGCTGGTGGAGGGAAGGGCTGGAAGGAAATTAGGCTAGAAAGAAGGGTAAGGCCTATTATGGACTGAATTGTGGGTCCCCCAGCCCCCAAATTCGTATCTTGAAGCCCTAACTAGCATCTCCCTATTAGTTAAGCAGCCAGAAGAGGTAACTACAATCCCAGCAGCAACTTTCTCACCTTCATTGCTTCTTAATCCATTGTAATCTGATCTGGGCCTCCATGCATTACTGCAAATGCATTAGTTAAAGATGTCCAAATGCACTTGGGGAGTCCTCTCTTTCTTACTAACCCTTTCACAGCCTAACATTGTTTGCCTTCTAACACACTCTTCCTTGGGCTAGTTCCACACTACAGTCTCCTGATTCAAATACAATTTCTTTGGCCATTAAATTTCCTTTGCAGTCTCCTTCTTTTTGGCCCATCCTTTATGTGTTGATTTTTATAGGCAATTTTTCCACATAACAGGGGTCATCTTTCAGTCACTAAGTAGGTTCATTCACCATTCCTTGTGCTATGGTCTCTGCATTTCTAGTACTGATCTCATTCCTAACATTTAGACCCGGCTTCTGTTTTTACATGGCATAAAAGATGTGTTGGTCTGGCTTGAGCTATACTAAGTTACTGGCTTATGGTTTTAAACTAGCAGCATAAGCTGTGGACTCAAACTTCCTGAGTTTGAATCCCAATTCCAACACTTAACTGTATGACCCTGAGTCAGTTACTTGTTTACTCTGTGCCTGAGTTTTCTCATCCATAAAATTGGAAAAATAATAGAACCTAACTATAAAAATTTCAAAGGGTTACATGAGTTGGTACATATAAAGCCCTTAAAATCACACAGCAAGCATTCAGTAACTATTAGTTTTTTTATGCTACTGGGTCTGTTAATACTATATACATACACATTTATTGTGTTATTGATAATTGTATTTTTGATTATTGATAATAAATGTATGATATTCTTGCTACTGGACTCTACATTTTGGTTCCCTGGTTAATTTACAGATTACTACGCTTTCAGGTTATTTAGAAAATTACTATTTTCACACCTCATTCACCTTCTTCTTTGTTGGGGTGCTCTCTTTCTGTCACTATCCTTGGTGATTTAAAATTGTATCTTAAAGTTAGAAAGGGCCTTAACAATCACCTCATCCAACCTATTCACCCAATATAGGAATATCCTCCAACCTTTACTATCTGACCGCTGAACCACTTCCAGTCATCACCAGTTTCATTTCTGAACACCACCACTTTGCCAGGCAAAATCTGCTTCTCTGTAATTTCCACCCAACCTCTGTCCATCCTTTAGATCAACCCACAGTAGACAGCTCCCTTTCCAACAGGGCAGTTCTCTACCAGGTACTTAAGTTCCTCCATGCCAAGCTAAGCTAGTTCCTCCAGTTATTTTTCACATGAAATGATTTCTAATCTTTCTACTGCTCTGGACACCTTTGAGTTCCAATTAGTACCTGAACCTATTGAAATATTCCAGGTTTGGTTTAATGGTACATTCAAGACTAAGACCATCTATTACTAGTATTATAATTTAAGGTCTTAAATTTTATGAAAGCATAAAAACTGCAGCACTAATACTGATGGCCAATCAGCTATTCTGATTTCAGTTATTCATCTTCCTAAACTTTCCTCCTTTCCATCACTATTTCACAGCCACACTTTATTATTTATTATTACACACTGTATTATTACAAAGTCCTGCTTCAACTCCTAGATCTTTACTTTTGTCCTCCCATCCAATCTCAGTCACCTTATCTGTCACCTCATCCCCACTGGTCTCCTACTGCTCTCCCCATCTCATCCAGATTAGCAATCTCCTTAGGTACCAAGAATTCTCTTTCTTCAGGAATGGTCTGCTTCACAGCAGTGTCTTAAGCTCTGCTAGTAAACCGTACTATTCCTCAAAACTTGATTTTTCAACTGTCACCTCTTCTGCTCCTAGACAAAACACGGGAGTCACCAAGTCATGAAGACCTGTACCTGCAGCCAAGTCCCAAATTCTTTCCTTCATGTTCAGGCTACTGTGGAATTACACTAGGGATTCCTAGAGGTAGTATGGTAAGTGGCTAAGAGCCAGAGAGTTCAAAAGTTGGACTGCCGGGATTCAAATCTCAAACTTGTGACTTGAGCAAATCAACTTCTATTATCCTTACCTATAGAATAGGGATAATAAATTCACAGGGTTGTTCACAGAAGTATTTAAGATAATGCATGTAAAGCTCTTAGTTCATTGCCTTGCTCCTAGTAAATTCTCAGGGGATGTTACTTATCATAATTTTTATTTGTGCTTTCCTCATAAACTCCATGGAAATGATATGCTTTTGTGAGTTTTCTTCTAGGGAATAATTTTCACAGTTACTCATTCATAAAATGGCTTCTTGCCTCCTCTCTAGCTGTCAAAATATTAGTCCTTTTATGGGGAAACCTCAAGATGTAATAACTTGTACGGATACAGATAGCTATGACTATCAGCAATCTGTAATTTTCTTGATACTTTACTCATATTTTGACATTTGAATTTACTATATTTTGGCCTTGATTTTATGTTGTCCAGAATTATCTTTTATATGACTAAGTATCAAGCCTACAATTAGACGGTAAGTTCCCTGAGGGCAAGAACTTTTTCTTTAGGTTCTTCTGTATTCCATACAGCAGTCTACAAATATTAAGAGAACAATATACTATCAAGTGAAGAGAATTAATCTGATTACTTAAGAAAACCACGTATACAGATCTAATTTTCAAGGCAGAACCTGTAGTAAGAAAACTGAAATACTGGAAAATAGCTCCTAAGTAGAATTATCAAAGGCCTTCTTTGAAACTACCTTTTCCAGAAGTTAGTGCTGAGCTTAACTCTAAAGTATATTATTAATTTCAATATACTTAATTCACTGAACTCAACGTACTTGGTTCAATAAACCTAAATAAAAAGCAAAATCATATTTGGATTCTAGCTATTCTTTCACAGGACCTTGTACCACATGAAAAACGCCAAAAAAGAAAAACCTTCACGAGAATCCTACCCCAAATCCATTCTCAGCCACTTGAAGATTACGCCCAACCCGAAGCTCTTGCATCTTCCTCTCAGCCGCTGCCAAACACATGGACAAACCACAATGTCAAAGCATTTCTAAGTGTGAATGATGTAACAACCCCCTTTTTATTTTGCAAATCAGGCTTTGAGCCCCACATTCTACATCAATGAGAACTTTTCTCATACTTTTCTATCCATTCTCTCCATCTCAGTCTTGGGAAACGGGGAGACGGCGGCCAAACCGGTTCACTCAAAGCCAGTTCTAGGTGAGCTCGGGCAGAGAGCATCTTCAACGCTCGCTTGGCAGTACGGAACAAGCAAGGGAGACCACGGCCTCCTTTTCCCTCTTCACCACACATTCTGGGGTGACAAGAAGAAGAAGGAGCCCAGGATCTAAGCGGGCTCTTACCGGCGAAGCGGATCTTCACGAGATCGAGCGGATGCAGCGCGAGGTTGGACAGGACCCCGCCGCTCACGCCTGCTACCAGGGTCTCGTACCGGACGTGGCGGAATATCGTGCTCCATGTCGACGACCCGGACGCTGACTGGCCCTGGCCTGTCATAGTTTCGGGCCCCGGTGATACCACGCCCAGAGCCCCGGAGGTGGGACGAGATGCGGTGGTCGCCACCGTGGCAACGGTCGCTGCCCTGGAGCGGGAGCCCTCTTCCGGGACTCAGACGCCAGGGCGCGGTAACCAAGCCATGAGACCCTAGAGCCGAGCGCGTGTGAAAAGGTCACAGCCCCGCGTCACGCCGACAGAGAACGCGAAGGGACGGGGAGCCTGCCTGGGCCGAGTCCCCGCCCCGCCCACGGCTGCTCCGGTTGGGGAAGAAGAAGGTGAATGGGAGAGCACAGCAGAGGAACCGCCCCCTCACAAACTTTGTCCGCAAAACTACGGAGCGCCGCAGGGTCCAGCTGGCTTCCACTCCGTGGAAGTCACATAACAGGAAGTAGGCTAAAAGAAGCGGAAATAGCGCGTGCCGGAGCAGGGTGGCGGAAGACCGGAAGCGAGAAGGTTGTGGAGTCTGGGAGAACTAGCAAGATGAAGGTGAAGATGCTGAGCCGGAACCCGGACAAGTATGTCCGCGAAACGAAGTTGGACTTACAGAGAGGTGAGACAAGTTAGCAGGGAGTACCCCAGCCGTGGGTGTGGCTTCGGCTTCCGCCGAGTAAAGTTGAGACGAGACTGGCGCTCCAGTCTCGTTTTCCGTTTTCCCCTTTCCCTTTCCCCGAGGCCGACTTTGTGCGGACGAGGTGGTTGTGGGACTGCGTAGCAGATAACTTTTTCTCAGTTCCTTCTTAAAGAACTTTCTCTAGTGGAAAAGAGGAAAGTTATATGGGGGGAATTCTTCCGTCTCCCGCTTCCAGCTGTTGCTCTCTGTTCGCAGGAAAGTGGGAACTTAGATGAGCCAAACTCGTGGATTCAAGGATTTTACAAAGAGGCTTCTCTACATCTTCCTGCTGCTCTGACTTTTAACCACTTACTACTTAAAATTGCTCGCTAATGGATGTGGGAAGAGACAAAAGTGAAAGTTAAAGCCATCAGTTTTCTGAACTCTTGTGGAGAAATTTGATGGGGGAATGACTAAACTGAAGTCAATGAGTCTTACTTATCCCTACTGGTCCATTTCCCCTTTAACATGCTGACTACTTAAGAACTATATATTATGACAGCTCAATATTTAAATGACAAGGGGACCAACCATGAGTAAACAGACTGTTCTCAATGAAGAGAATAACAGGTACAAAGGCCTTAAGGCAGAAATAAACTTAAGGCCTAAGGGAAGGGCCATGTCATCGGAGTTTGAGTAAGGGATAAGCCGTAAAAGATGAGGATGGAGCAGTATTTCAGTATTTTGATTGAGTAATAGAGATTGTCAACATCTCTACTTCTTGAACCTGTGGCCCCCATTTTCTTCTTTAGTTTCACCAGTCATTAGTGTTCTGCAGGGAGCTTACATTGACGCTTTACAATCTGGGTGCATTTCAAGCATTTTCTTTCAGGTCTCCCATGGCACACACTATATCGAAATTTAGCTTCTCTGAAAAGTGATTTTTCCATACTTAGCCCCTGTGGGTCCTCGCTTCTACATTTAAGCATTCTTCTATGTTTCTATCATATTTTTATATTAATAACAATGTTTTTCTCTCATTGCTTCATGATTATTATTTTGATTATCAGTCTTTTGCATCCGACTGAGCTTTCAGAGTAGGAAAGAATTGTAGTTGTTCCTATTTCCACTGTGTTTAGACAGTACCTGGCACGTGGTCGTTGCTTTATACATGTCTGTATGAGGGGGTGAGTTGTGTCACTGGCTCTTCATAGACTCTCAATGATAGGTTATTAGTCATCTGATCTTGTTGTTCAGGCTCTTACTTTCTATAACATCTTCCAATTTCTTTATACTCTTTGATGTAATAGCAAAGTGGAAAAACAGAGTATTGGAGCTCTTTAAAGCATAATATAAGGATGATATTTGTTATCTTCTGTTACTCTTTCAGTCTTTTCTTGTTTAGGTATAATTTCCTTCAGGTAATACTTGAGCATTCTGATTCATAGACTCTGGGGTGGGCATCAGAGAATCTGTATTTTGAAAACTCCCTTGCTAAGTCTGACACAGCTGGTTAACATACAGATGTGTGAGAACAGTTTACCTAAATGTACACCAAAAGTTTGTTAGCTCTGATATCCTAGTGCTTGCTTGTGGCATATGGCAGGTGCTCCATATATGTATATTGTTGATGGAATATGAACTTAGAGGTAGGTATGATCATGGTTATTTGAAAAAGTATTTAGAGATTTAAGCTGAATATTTTTAAGGGATGTGTAAGGTTTAGTTAGATAGGTTAGGAAGAAAGTTGCAGTACATTCCTGGTGGAAAAAATGAGTTTTGCAAGGACTCAAGAGTGGGAAAGTATAAGGCAGTTTTAGGTGACAGTGAGTAAACCAATTTGGCTGGAGCTGAGTTTCAGAAAGTACTTGAAGTCAAAGAGGTAGGATGGGGCCAGATTGAGAAAGACCAGAACGGAGCTTGAACTTAATTCTGTTGGTCACAGGTCCCTAAAATGGATGTATTGGGCTGTCCATTGCAGAGTGGAAGAAACAATACTTCAATGTACATTTCTTAAAAGCAAATCAATATTTATTTATATAATACTTGCACTGACACTGGCACCCTCATTTTAGCTATATGTTAAGTAGTCACATCTTGGATACTTCCGTATCCCAAGGAAAGGCTGGAGAGTTGACTAAATGTGTGCTTGTTTCTACCTTCAGAATATTTTTCAGCATCTGACAGTTTACATTTATTGGGGTTTATATTTTAAATAATAGAATCTTTATAATAATTTATTAAGTGTTGGGGGCCCATGAAAATCTTCTGTGGAGGGCCTTGGTAATATCATGATAAAGCTTTTAGAAGAGTTATGGAACATTATGATGAATTAAGCATTTCTCAAGTTTGCTGAATTTTTCTGTGGCTGTGAATACTAGGTAGGAGTTTTTTTTTTAAAGTCAGATGATATACTTCAAGGCCCATTTTAATGAGTGATGAGAGATTGCTTTCAAAAAATCTTATTCTGTGGAGGCATCATTTTGAAAATATATATTTGGAAATGTTTCCATCATTTAAAAAATTTTGTATTAAAAATCGTCATTTAAAAAATGTCATCTATAAAAATTCATTTTTACCTACATGAAAAATTGTTAAACAGCATGATCTATCTTGTTGAGTATTTTTTAAACTGTTAAAATTATTAAAACAAATGTTGTAAGAACTGCTATTGACATCAGAATAAATGGATATTTTCTAGACATATTTCAGAAATAATCTTTGCAAAACTGGTCAGTGGGGCTGAAAATAAAATATACTAAATAAATGTAGCCAACTATGGATGTCTTTCTTTTGGATCTGCTTGTCTTTGTGACATATGTATAGGCAGTCCGCACTTTGCACAGTACCATATTAACTAAACCAGTCCTGGTCTTTGACATGTTCATAGTGACTGAAGTCACATCTGTTACCACAAAAATATACAAAACAAGAATTCGTTCCGGAATGTCTGTGCTCCCAATAACAATACCATGCAAAACTGAGTTCTGTCTGTTAATCTTTTTCAACTACGGTGGCGGTTACAACCAAACACTGAAATGAACAAAGTCAAAACCTTTTAATCACTCTATCATAGTGTTAAATTGAGATTTTTCTCTTTAAAAACAAGGATCTTTAATTGTCAGCTCTTGTTATATATGTATGTATGTTACCAGGAAGAAAGCTGCTCAAAAACTCTCTTATGAATGGGGTACAAAATTAAGAGTTTGAAGACTACCCACAACAGGGAGCCTTTGAAAGGTTTTGAGCATGAGAGTGACAAGTAAAAAGCTACGTTTTAGGGTGAGTAGTGTGATAGTATAAACTTCCACCAAATAAAGTAGGGCTATTACAGTAGTCCCAAATATAAAGTAATAAGGGCCAAAACTAAATTGCTTGAGGTAGGAAAAGAAAGAGGAGAATAAATGAGAAGTATTTCAAAGAGAGCATAAGCTGGACTTTATGTTTTGCATTGGGGAATGTGGAAGATTGAATACATAAGAATGACCAATGTTTGAGCTTCATTGAATGTTGACTATATACCAGTAACAGGGAGTCAGAAAGAAAAGAGCATGGTGAAGCTGTGGGCTAAGAATATGCATTTATTTCTAGACATTGAGGGGTTTCAGATGTAGAGGCTTAGAATTCTTTCCTATCCCTAATTATTACCTGAAACAACATGTTTGGCAGCATAACATAATAATTAAGAACATGGATGCTGGAACTAGACTGCCTTGGTTTGAATCCAGGCTCTATCATTTTATAGGCAAGTTACCTCTCTGTGCCTCAGTTTCCCCATCTATAAAAGTGAGGTGTAGTAATAGAATTTAACAAATAAAGAATATAGTGGAAGTCTGTCTATGAAAGCTTACAACTTAGTTGAAGACTGTAGTAGGACATGTAAAAGGAAAAGCTTGTGTGTATACATACGGCCTAATTATTTTGCAAGATGTGTGTATTCCATGATTTTCTGGTAATTTTGGAAAGGTTTCTGGATAAAAGGTGGCCTACTTTTGTATTCTCATAGTGCTAGGCACAGAGCAGTATCCCTAACAAAGGCTTATGAATAATGAACGATTACCTTAGGAGGACCACAGGAAATATTAAATATGAATCATTTTATTAAGAGAAATCATTCTTATTTCAGTTCCAAGAAACTATGATCCAACCTTACATCCTTTTGAGGTCCCACGAGAATACATGAGAGCTTTAAATGCTACCAAACTGGAACGGGTATTTGCAAAACCATTCCTTGCTTCCCTGGATGGTCACCGAGATGGAGTCAATTGCTTGGCAAAGCATCCAAAGAGCCTGGCTACTGTCCTCTCTGGGGCATGTGATGGAGAGGCAAGTATCACTCTAAATGTTGATAATTTTAAACAAACACTAGCAATGTTACAAATGTTCTTCCTTTAGTTTTGAATTACTGTAGGTTTTAATTGGTTTGATTTCATTTTTCTACATCCTATTCTAATTCTCAAGACTAAATTCTGTTTGAATTATTAACTTCAGTTAGCTTCTTAGCTGAACTCAAGAAATTAAAAATGTAGCTTAAGGCTCAATTTGACAGTAAATAATAAAGCATGTTTACAATAAAGATACTTAAGTGTGAGTTTTTTTCCACAGAGGATGTTATTAAATATTCAACACTTAATTATTTCCCATTCTGGCAAGGAAAGAAAGCTTTGAAACACTTCAAACTAGAGTC